AATCCTATATTGCCATTATATATCTTTTCCTTGTTTCCCTGTGGAACAATGTCAACTTTGTCCAGGAGGAGAGTGAGAAGCCACTGACTAGAGGGACCCAGGTGGGGAGTTAGCGAGGCCCGAGGAAGGCAGTAGCAGGGATGTGGGGAGGAGACAGAATCCTCAAGAATCTGGGATCCCGCCGGTTCCTGATTACATGAGTAAACACACTGGGCATTTAAGCAATTTTATTTTATTCTATTTTATTTTATTTTATTCTATTCTATTCTATTCTATTCTATTCTATTCTATTCTATTTTAAAGAGAAAGAGAGAAAGGTGGTGGGCAGAGAGAGAGGGAGAAAGCAGGCTGTATACCCCGTGCAGAGCCCAACTTGGGACTCGATCCTATGACCCTGAAATCATGACCTGAGCCGAAGTCGATCAGAAGCTCACCTGATGGAGCCACCCAGGTACCCCCCCCATTTAAGCAGTTTTAAAGGAGAACATTTCATCCCAGAAATTGGGATTTGCTAAATTCCAGTGGCCGACCCTGCGTTGTTATAGTGGGCCCCCTCCGAGGCCTGAGAGCCAGAAACACAGCTCTGAAGCCACCGGCATCTTCCTTCACACAGCTCACCAGCTTTCACATGTAAAATTTGTCGCCTGCAAGCCAGTGACTCTTTAAAAACAGAATCTCTTGGGGCGCCTGGGTGGCTCCGTCAGTTAAGCATCAGACTCGTAGTTTTGGCTCAGGTCGTGATCTCAAGGTTCATGAGCTCAAGCCCTGCACTGGGCTGTGCACTGACCGTGCGGAGCCTGCTTGGGATTCTCTCTCTCTCTCTCTCTCTCTCTCTGCCCCTCCCCTGCGCATGCTCTCTCTCAAAATCTTAAAAAAAATTAACAAAACAAAACAGGAACTCTTTATTCTTTGGTTATTGTGTTCGCTGTGAATTTGGGGGAACATTGGAAAAGCTAGACGTGCTCCCGCTGCATCTGTTTGGGTCATTTACATACGTGCTTCTTGGTGTTTTTGACACAGGTTAAAGGCCCCTTCAGGAGCACCACCATCGTGTTGAATGATTTGAAACCCTTAAGAGAATACTGTTTACAAGTCAAAGCGCAACTGGTTTGTGAAAAAGGGAACATCTCTAGACCCGGACACTTAAGCAACGTATCTTGCTACAAAACAGCGATGGATGGTAACACACCTTCTTAGGTCCTTTCTGACCTGGGCAAAGAATCCTCCCCAAGGAGTGAAACCGGGGGTGGCTTGTTAGGCCAAGGGTCAAGGGTGGTAGGGGTGGGGAGACCCGGAGAGAAGGGGCAAGACGCGAACCCGAAAGTGTAGGCAACACAGGTTCATGCTGAGATCTACTGTAATAACAGCACCAGACAGCTAACGCTGCTTTATTTTAGGATTGCCTTTCCTGGCTAGTCATCTAAGCATGTGAGGCTGGGCGGGGGAGGGGCAGCGTCGGCCCGGTTTTACCAGGAAACGACCTCTCTCTAAGCGGTTGGCAGGTGAGAAATTACCGACGTTTGTACCACGGGTGGGACGGGCCTCTTGTTTACTTCCGCGTCATCTTTTCAGCCGCCACAAAACTCCAGCAAATCATCGTGATTGCTGTGGGACTCTTTCTGTTCCTGTCGATGCTGGCGGGGGCCTGTTTCTTCCTGGTCCTGAAATACAGAGGCCTGGTGAAATACTGGTTTCACTCTCCACCGAGCATCCCGTTACAAATAGAAGAGGTACGTGCACACGCATCCAGTGGGTGACACGTCGGCACTCCACGGCCCCCTGGTAACACTTAAGAGGTCAGCGGCGGACAAAGCCACGGGCACAGAGATTTGAATTAAAAGTGGCGCAGGGTTATTTGTACGCCCATGTTCCCGGCATTATTCACCACAGCCAAATGGGGGAGGCAAGCTAAGCTCCCGTCGGTGGAGGAACAGATAAACGAAATGTGGTATGTCCATCCAATGGAATATTATGCAGCCGTAAAAAGGAAGGCGATTCTGCCGCATGCTGCAACGTGGGTGAACCCCGAGGATGGTACGCTAGGTGAAATAGACCGGTCACAAAAAAGACAAACACTGTTTGATTCCACTTAACATGAGGTACTTAGAGGACTCCAATTCAGGGAGACTGAAAGTAGAGTGGTCGTGGCCAGGGTCTGGGTGGGGAGGGGAAAGTGGGGAGTTAGTGTTTAACAGGTGCAGAGGTTTCGTTTTGCAAAGTAAAAACAAGCCCTGGACATAGTGGTGAGGGTTGTACAACAGGGTGAATGTATTTTATACCAGTGAGCTGTATACATAAAAAAATAGCTAAGATGTAAATCCTATGTTACATGTATTTTACCACAATTTAAAACCATTTTTTTTTTTTTTTTTT